ACCAAAGTTGATCGGTTTCGTAAAAAAAAAAAAAAAAAATATTTTGAAAAATCGACCAACTTTGGTCGGTTTTTTGGTCGGTTTTTTGACCGACCAAAGTTGATCGGTCGACCTTAATCGATTTTTGTCGAATTTCTAGTAGTGATACTCCCCCATATTTTCGAAGTTGATTGCTATGATTGTGCTATTTTACTTTTCCGCCTGAACTCTTTATTCTTGTCATAATAATTGATACATATATATATATACACACACATCAATTATATATAAAATATATATATTATATATAAATTTACCGACTATTATTTTGCAGTGCGACTATATTGAGAAGATTTACCAATATAATATGATAAGTTTGAAACCCTCCGACATCATGCCTATGAAGGATGGTAATAAAAAGCCATATGCATTACAAATGGAATCCTCTAGAGTCACCATCGAGGGCGGGGAGCGATGAGATGATTGAGATCCGCTCCCTTTAATCAATAATATATAAGTTCGAGTGTTGGGAATAAAAAATTTAGGCTGAATGGCATTTAAAATTTTAGCTACACATCAAAAGTACATGATAAATATTAGTGATCTATAAACAAAAGAAAGAATCGCCATACAAAATTGTTGACCACGATAAATTAAATAATAAAGAAAAAAATGAATCTAAAGTGAGTTGTCAATTATCGGAAAAATAGATGGAAATAATGCTCCAACCCCACTTCAATTTCTTTAATTTATAGCCATGTTCTTCTGCTTGTGCACCCATTTGGGGTCATGTGATGATGTTGCCAATTGGCATCCAATAATAGCTTGATCTTGACATAAATAACCAACATAATTTTGACAACTTCCAAATGCCATATTCTCTTACACATAATTTAACAATTTACCTGAAGAATTATAAGTTTCACATAGATACCAAGCTGGTATTCCTAATGCATCACCTATCATTTTCTCATGCCAACCATTTTTCATTGCTTGATTCAATCTCCTAACAAATCCTTCTCTTTTCCCCTCACAATAATTCAAGAACTTTGCTATGGTTCTTGAGTTCTTGCTTTTCCAACAGCTTCGCTCTACTGTCACTGGCTCGACAGATTCAGATTCTGACGTTGCACGTCCAGAACTAGCTAAACTAGCAATATACTCAATCATGCCATTTACAAGACTAGCCGGGGCATTACCTTGACCATTCCATAGCCATATACGCGCCATGCCTTTTTGAAGTGCCAAAGACATGGCATGTTTATAATTTGGACTATACAATATTGAAGGACTAATATGTAGAACAAACTCAACGTTGTTGTCACGGGACTCAACGATGATTGGACGAGTCATATTCCGGCTAGATAGTCGGAGTATGACATGTTTAACTAGCTTCTTATTCTGGGATTGACCAAAATCAACATCACTAGTAGGATAAAGAATATTTTCAACAAATTTACTTGTCTTCAAAACTAAACGTGTGGCTTCGTCGTTCGATACAAAAAAGAGATCGAAACGCCTCTTTGCAAATGTAGCATCAGCTTCATTGACAATTGTTATGGAAAAACCTTTGGAGGCTTCATAATTTGCCCATAAGGAGACTACTATTGCAAAAATGACCACAACAAGCCTAAGAATTATACTTGTCTTTGATGAAGTGCTTTTGTGGTTATTTTCATCAACTTCAAGATTGGAGGAGGGGTATATGGCAGAGTTTTTTGTGGTTGGTTTTATGAGAGGTTGAAGGAGATGTTGGTTTTTCTCTTCCATATAGAGAGGAGAAAAAAGAAGAAGAAGATGGAATAATATGAAATGTACAAAAAACAGTTACAAAAATAGAAGAATAGGGGACATCATAGGCCACAATGAGTGACTACTAATAGATAAAGGGTCCGTTTGTCAACTTACTTTTTTCTTTCTAAAATATTCGACTTCTTGGGTATAAATTAAGATATTGATTTACCGCTAAAGGTTATGGTAAAATGAATAAGATTTCTCTATCCTTAACTAGAGGTTACCGATTTGATCCCTAGAAATGATTTTTTTGGTAGCGAGCGATTCCTACTTTAATAGGCTTTAAGCAGCACGACTCCGTATCATTAGGGACCTCAATACAGATACCAGATACCATATGAAAAATAAAAAAAGAAGAAGTGATTTACATGATTTCACAATCATTCAACAAATTAAAGGCAGTTGGCATTTGAATACTAACACGACATTAGTGAGTTATACGCAACTCTCAAGTAGGTCATGCCATGTTATATTTTCTTTTACATTCATCATTTGACCTAGAATTCTTTGTCATTTTTTTCTGGACTACGTCGTGATATATTTTGGTTTTTCAATCTTGGTTAAGTGAGCCAAAAAAACATACTACTAGTATATAACTAAAATGGGACTACTAATATAAAAATAATTTAAAATATTGTCAAAACATAAATGTCAGCCGAAAAAAAAAATAGGTGGTTTCTTTTCATCTATCCAAGTTTTGATGGATAAGTTATCCGATATCTATACTAGTGAAAGATAACAAATACCCCGTGAAATTAATTAAGGTGAGCGCAAGATATTCAAGACACCAAGATTAATAAAAAAAAATCAAATGGATAATTGCATTTCAGTTAAGGTGTCGGCGAGAGTTTTCCTCCAATTATTAATGAGGAAATGCATGCACATGGCTTTAATATAGTATTTTACTCTAATTATATTCCAACTTGGTAGGAACTAAGGATAATCAATTACTGGTTACAAAACCAGGAACAGTTCCAGCAATATATTGAATGTCCCACCCCACAATGTGATAGCATTCCGTTTACAAACATTAAAAATTAAAATTAAATAAAGCAAATGATGAGAGAAAATATGCGTACCGTATTTGATTTGGATAAATAAAATTTAGTTTAGGGTAGTGATATATATATTAAATGGAGTATTTTAAAATATAAAGTATGCAAAAGGGAAAAGAAAAGATCAACAAGATTCAATATTTTTTTCTTCTTTGAAAATATTGAGGATGAACATTCACTAAGGGTTGTGGTGAAACACATGGAATTCCTTTACTTTTGATCAAAAGTTTAGGGTTCGAATTTTGGGTATGAAAAACCCAGTTTTTTAAAAGGCGTGGGCATCAGGCGAGACGTTTTATATATGCCTCAGCGAGACGTAAGCCCCGAGGCACGGGGNGGGGCGTTTTACTTGATATGGGGCGAGGCGTAAGCCTGAGGGGGGGAGGGGGGACGTAAGCCCCATGGAGCTTAAAAATTTTTAATTTATAAATTAATAAAATAACATAATAACACAAAAAATATAAAATATAAATTAAAAGTTAAAAATTAAAAGAAAATTAAAGGAACTCATAGAAAAAAAATATCTAGCATCATTCTTAAGTATAACTAATGCATACAAATCACGTATAACGTCTTTAACTTTCAAATAATAAAAAACTTACAATTTCTTTAAAAAAATGATCAAACTCCACATTTTACCTTCCTAAAAGTAAATAATTAATAAAATTTTATTAGTAAGATAATTAAAATATTACTCCTTCATGAATAAATACAAATTAGTTTAAGATATCAAATTAATAAAAGAATATAACAAGGAGGGACATATGAACTAAGACACGACCAATAACAAGTGAAGATATAAATTCGCAATACTATGTCTCATTATTAGAGTTATACTCAATATTCATATTTCTATCGATGAATAGAATTTTTATCATTAATTTGTTAAAGAATTTTGAAGGTCAACGATATTAATTTAGAAATTCGACACGTGATTTGCGTTAGAACTGTTAGGCGAGCCCCGAGCATTGGGCGTTATGCGTGTTTAGGGTGTACGGTCGGACGCTTAGGGCGTAAACCTCACAGAACTAAGTCTCATACATGAGCCCCAGGGTATTTTGCAAGTGTCCCGCCCAGGGGCGAGCCCAGGGCGAGTCCCAGAAATGCCTTTTAAAACACCGGAAAAACCCTCCGTTAGGAAGCGTTTCACCCCTCAAATGGGACTTACGCGGCGCAGATTCAGATTACTCGAGGCCTTAATGCGGATACTGAATATCGGAAGGAAATCAAAAAGAGAAAAAGAATGAACATTGACTGAACGTGTTTCAACTTAATTAAAAATGATGTTCCCAATAATGATAACTTTATACTATAATTTACTAAATATTGTTTTTCAAAACAATTTTGAGAAATCAGAGAACTTACAAATTCTAGAACTGCAGTTGGTTTGTTTACTTCATTTTTGAGATATGTTTTGAATCATGTTATATTTTCACATTGTTTGTAGCACAAATTATATAATTATTATATTTGAGTTTCATCCAAAAATTATTCGAAATGCTATATGATTCTTTTAAACTTAATACATAAATTTTTATTATTGTGTATACACTTACAGTGACATAAGACGACATTTATGATTTTGTTAAAAATATGATCTCATTTTGCTTAAACAAATCAGATCATACTTTAATATAATTAATATTCTTTAACGACGTCTGCGCCCTACTAGTAAAGATGCAAAAAGAATCTTACTATCAACATAATAAAAATTAGACCCTTTTTATTTACAAATTCACAAGGAATTGTAGCGGCCATGATTGCCCTCCTAGTGCTTATATGCATAGATAGTGTGAAAAAGATTTACAATCAGATTACTTAAAAGGTAATTGTATGTAATTCTCTATACCAAATTAATTTGTAATCTTAGAAAATAAAAAGAAATCTTCTCTAAAATACCACTCTACCTCTAGCAAAATAAATACGAATATGAATATCTTCTTCTATCCAAATCACTACTGTAATACTTACATTAAATCTACAACAAGTACATATTTAATACTTGCTGTATTTTTGTACACGTTGTCATAAGTTTAAAAAATAACAATAAAACTAATACTCTTTACATGCTAACTTAGTCAATATTTGTTGCTTGCGTGCAATTGTTAATTATGACGTAAGGTGTCACGACCCAATTTCACCTATAGGTCGTGATGATGCTCAACATCACAACTAGGTAAGCCAACTAGTGAATTAAACATATATTTCCTCTTTTCATAAATTTCTGAGTAATTAAACTCTTCTTACTTGCAAGATTTAAGGAAAATATAAAAGGTTCTGATTAAATAAAAATCAAGAAAATAATTCAAATCATAATTCTACTAGTGAGTGTGCCAAAACCTGATGTCACAAGTATATGAGCATCTAGTAGATTATACAAAAAAATCCAAAATACTGTCTGAATACAAAATAGACAGAAAACAAATACAAAGGAGACACTAGGTGCTGCGGAACGGCTCAGGAGAAGCAGCTCACCACTAGGTCTCGGGATAGCGTGGGTGTGCACCGGTAGGACCGCCTAAGGTTCCTGCCTCAGATCCTGCACAAAAAATGCAGCAAGTGTAGCATGAGTACGAAAATAACGTGTACCCAGTAAGTATCAAGTCTAATCTCGAAGAAGTAGTGACGAGAGGTCGACTTTGACACTTACTATGGGTCAATAATATTAAAATAGAAATATTTAAATAGACATGGTTTATGTGAACAACAATAATCTTCTTAACAAGCGGGAATAAAAAAAATTCTTTCAAATTCAATAATTTTCAATTAATCATTTATCTTCACAAGCTGCAATATGATGTCAAGATATCGTGTAATTATTATTGTTACGCACGATTTCTGCCATGGTCGTACGGCCCGATTCAGAGTGTCGTGTACACTACCGAGGGACGTGCGACATGATCCATAGATGGATCTATACTGCCTAGGCATTCGACCCGCTCCACAAGAAAGGAGGATATTTTCTTATGAACCTCCGGAATGAGAAATTATTATAAGGCTAATACATAAAGATGTGCAATTCTATTACTAGCCAAGTAATTTGCACAAAAATTTAAGTATGTGAAATTTCGGTCTTTTTACTATTTCCTCTAATAATTTTTAATATAATTTCAGTACTTTAATTAAATAAAAGATGCAATTATTACAAGTAAGTCATAATTTGAGTCCTAAACTACTCGGACATAGCATAATTAGTAGTTACGCACGGACTCTCGTCACCTCGTGCGTACGTAGCCCCCACAATTAGTAACAATTATTAATTTAAATCACCTATGGACTAAATGCCCTCTTACAAGGTTAGACAAGAGACTTACCTCGTCCCAAAGTTCACTTTTCGATCTCAATTTCACGTTAAAGCCTCAATTCGGTGCCGAAAAATCCGAAACTAGCCAAAAGTTATATAAAATAATCAATACATGCTTAACAACTTAAAATTAGAGTATTAGATTAATTACCCAACCCAAATTGATAAAATTCCTAAAATTCACCCCGGACCCACGTGCCCGGATTCCGAAAATTTTTGGAGGAAATCATTACCCATAATCTCAAGAACTCAATTATACAATTTCTATCCCATTCCATAATTATTTTCATGGTTAAAATCTCATTTTTGTCAAAACCTAGATTTTTCATCTAAACCCTTGATTTCTACAATTTACATATTATAATCTACTAATAATTTATGTATTTAACTTATAATAGGTAGAATTAACTTACCTCCAAGTGGCTAGGTAAATACTCCTCTCAAAAAGCTCTAAATTCGCCCAAGAATGGAGAAAATGGGCTCAAAAATGGCTGAGCCCCGTTTTAAGACATTCTGCCGAGCAATTTTTTGCTTTTGTGGCTCCTCATCTGCGGAAAGGACCTCGCAGATGTGGCTTTTTTCCCTTAGCCGGCTTGTCCGCTTCTGCGAGACCGGTTTTGCAAGACCTCTTCTGCGGTGCATACGCCGCACCTGCGCCCTCGTCCGCACTTGCGATGCCTTTCTCGCACTTGCGCCTTCGCATGTG